AGTATTATTATCGGTGTTCGTTTAATGAACTTTTTACGATTATAGAAACCTCTCTTTCATTTAAGGCTTAACAATGGTTAAAATTAATTCATACTAAAACATAAACTCGAGTTTAAAACAAAGGGTTTATGAACAAGTGTTAAGTGTGGCAAACAAACTCTGAGTATTTACATATTTTTGTGCATAATAAACTCCGTGCTTATGAGTGGTGTTTATTGTTAAAATTACAAATTATCATTAACTCCAGTTTTAAATTCAATGCGAACCAGTAGCCAATTATGGTTAGCGAATATCTCTTTGAAAAATCTTCGCTATGTTTAAGCTTATGATTAAATTACAAGTTGCGCTAAACTTATAAAAAGTTTCAACGGAGCTTTCTGGGCAGATTGAACATAAACCCAAACTTAGCGCTTCCTTAAAAGTTGTTATGCCCTAAACAGGGTATATAAAGTTTGGAACACCCAGAAAGAAATTTATTTTTATACTCTTTTATGATATTTGACAAAATTTCGCTAACAAAAAACATATGCAGTGAAATTCAAATTCTCTGACAGAGAAATATTTTTATAAAAATAGAATGCAACCATATATTATCTAAAAATAATAACACAGAAATACACCAGCAGGGGTACTATATAAATATATATGCATATGTATGTTCACCATATGCAGTGGAAGTATCCCATATTAACCAATGATACACCAAAAAATTGCTCTATAAATTATCTTTATTTATCGGCACTCTTTATCTGATTCGATATTTTATTGGAATGCCAAAAAATACATTATGTTAACACGTTTTCTATGGAAAAAAATACAAAAAAATACAACAACAATGAAAACTGCAAAGTGATAAAAATATTTCGACAAACACTTAGCACATTTTCGCGATGTAGTACTTGTAAATTGCTCACCGAGAGGAAAGCATCAACAGTCACACGAGCATGCCGAAAGTCATTACACATCCACAGACACCACATACATACATCTACGAAACACATGTACGCAGGCGATAAATAATTTTATCTGTGCGACAAGTGTAACTTAACATACCGAATTTTTATCGCCCGAAATAAAAGTGATATTTTCGTTTTTGCTGCTTTTTCTAACTCTTTTGTTGTTGCTGCTTGTCGCTTGAAGTGCTTCGCCGCTTGCGTAAGCTATGCAATCGAATTGGTTTGTCAAAAAAAGTGGCAGATGCTCCAGTAAACCGATTTATTCGCATAGCCGACGAGCGAGACTTCACAAAGGAAGCATTAAAATCAATGTGAAAGGAGAAATATAAAATACCTAAAGTTAACTAGCCAGGAATTTTACATAAAGCTGTTGAGAAATATTTCATTTTGAAAATTTCGAAATAACGGTCATGTCCGACTTTCCAATGGAAATTTGGAAGAATTATTTTTTATCCGCTCCTTTCTTGCAGCAGTTTTAGTCTTCATATTTAGGTAAAGAAAAGTCGACCAATGATTATTTCTTGTTTCTATTCCAATTATCGTTATCAAATTGAAGCTTAACCGTTATTCAAGTAATCTTCTACAGAACCGATATTCTATAACTTATACAGTCAATTATTCATACTTCTATATTTAGTTTTACACAACTTAATTCTTCCCAAGCATTGTTTTCTAAAACTATTATTTTCAGCTAGTACTAGCAGATTTCATATTTTTTTTCAGCCAGAATTTCGAGAAATTATATTATCAACAAAACTTACTGCTCTCATAACTATTGTCTACAGTGCTAGAATTCGCTATAAAATGGGTTCATTCTCATAAATTCCACTTAAAACACTTTTTTCTTCGATAACGATTTTACTACTTAGAGTTATATTATATTACATAGACATAAATACAGTTAGTACAACAAAAATAAGTAAATTGCATAAAAAATTCAGTATTGAGTTGTAAAATTGCAGAGGCAAACAAGTCCATCGAAATTTATTTATGCGATGGGTACAAATTTACATTTGCACATAGCTTAAGCTGTAGGACGAAAATATAGACGAAAGTGTGATGACCCATAAATCAAAAGTGAATAGCTCAAACATTCATCAACTTATCAAGCACATTTTTGGCCATATGTGGGCAGACATAAATATACATAGGTATATCTACCTATATATACTTATACTCGTATATATATTATGTGAAACGAGTTTGTGCCTGTATCAACTTACCCAATTGGAAGCAGTTTTGCTACTCAACAAATAAGTACCAACAAAGAATAACTACAAGTATGATACGATAATATGAATGTAGCGATTGTTCAGTTACATAACTACGGTATTCACATTTAAGGTTTGAGTAAACGATTTAAAAGTAATTATTCTGGTCCTCCAGAAAGAAGACGAAGCTCGCTGACAGTGAGCACAAAGCTAGTCAAGCACTGCATAACCTCACTAGCAGTAGCATCAAGCTATTCCACTATCACGCTTTTGCCAAACTAAGGTTGAAGAATTTTGGTTGCCATACTTTCTGCGAACCCGGCGAATTGATATTAGCCATCTCAATAAATTAGTAGCTAGCTTTAGGCGCTTTGTCGATATGCGACGGTCTCTTCGATACATACCTAGGAGTTCTGGGCGTCAAAACAGACAAGCATCTGTAGCTGTACAAGTTCGATTATTCGTGGCCTCTCGAAAAGTAAGCCTATGTGCCTAACCTGACCTAAGAAAAGCGAAAAAAATTCAAAATTATTGAAAAAAATAAGAGAGGTTCTGAAATTTATGTGAGCGCAGTTATAGGATACCTATTACGTAATGAATACGACATTTAAAAGTATATTTTTTATACCCTGAACAGGATATATTATGGTAAGTTTGCCGCGCAATTTGTTATACCCAAAAGGAAACGTCGAAGACTCTATAAAATATTATATATGTATTATATAAATGATCAGAGTCACGAGCTGAGTCGATTTAGCCATATCGTTCTATATATACTATAAACATGTGAACTAGTCCCTCAGTTTTTGAGATATTGATCTGAAATTTTGCATAAATTCTCTTCTCCCCAAGAAGCTGATCATTTGTCGGGACTATATATTGGATCACTATAGCATGCAGTTGCCATATAAGCTGACCGATTAAAATCAGGCTCTTGTATGGAAAACTTTATTATTTGACAAGGCACCTTCTCGAAATTTTAACACTTAAATTAACGAGGTCATCAAAGAGCTGACCGTAACTTTAGGAAAAAAGTTCCTATTGGGTGTTTATGATACTTTCTGCACCCCTGCACATATCCTTTCGCATATAAAAAAAGTAAATGTACTTCAGCCAAAGTATTCATATATTTTGCTACTTTTTTTGGGCATGAAATTTTATTACCACCCGAAAATGCATATATGATATATTATAAGAGTATGCAAACGAATAAAAATGTGCATATTACATATGTACATCTATTAAGTACCGTTATCGTGAATGCAAAAACCTGTTGCTGACATTTTTATGACGAAAGCGCATACATATATATATTTTTTATGAACAAAATACAAGTTTGTGGTGGATGCATATTTTATATGCCAGTATATGCATATATCTACTTTTACTTTGAATTAGTCTCGCCACAAAAAACGGTTTTTGATTACAATTTTTTGGATACTGGCTTATATGAACTTTGACTCTATGCTTCTCGCCTCTTTTTGCCTCTATTCACATATTTTAAGTCATTATTATTATTATTGGTCTTTGTAGAGTATTGCTCTTTCTCACATAAATACATAAATATTTCGATATCTTTATTGAGACATTCACTTTTTATTGCCATAAAATATATTTATGTTTATTTTTTGTTCGTTGAACATACTCACACACATATGCCCAGCTAGACTGCTCGAAGCGATAGAAATTCATGCATTGAAATACACTTTTTCATTCATAATTTATTGATGCTGTCATATATAATTTCCTTTGTACGCAAATTTTCGACTTCTCATATCTCATACGAACAATAGAGAAAAATGAATACCATCGCCACAAATTAAGTTAACACTGCGCTTATCAGCAAATAAACATATACAATAAAGTCGTTAAACAAATTTATGGTCATCTTCTCATCAGACTCCGCTATATGCATTATTTATGCCAATCCAATAAGTCCAAAGCTCAGCTAAAAATAATAGAGTTGGTATATGCGTACATATATGTTATCAAATATATCTATAATGATATTACATTATTTTTCCTTCTGATCAGGGTATCAAGAAGTTATTATTAATCAAGTTTGGCTTACTAGGTTCCAGAACTCAGATTTTTCGTTTAGAACAGCTCCATTAAAACATATATACTTGTAGTATATGATATGTGCGTATCTACGTATTAACTTGAGTATATCAGAAAATCTCACTCTCTCTTTCTACCGCCTATATACTTGTACATTTGAAAGTACCACTGAATCTTGATAGATTTTCTTTCTTTAGTTGAAAGTATATTAGAAAGGAAGGATAAAATAATCGCTCAGCATAACTCAGCAACAGATATCGTTGGGTGCGTTTGACGTCCAAGACCCAAGAGCTTATGCACACAATTTCTTACTCTAACTAAATTTGAGGCAGTGAGGAGAGAAAAGTTATCTCAACCTTTTAATCAAAGAAAATTTGAATGTTCCAGAAATGCAGGAAGTTTTATAGCCATTTCTGGTAACTTTAATCGAAGAATGATTAAAAAATGTGTCCAAATAACCCGTGGTTATTGTCTACGAGCATATACAAATCAGATATTTCTCAGCAAAGTTTTTTCAAAATCTTTTTAACAACTTTTTGAAAATCTAAAATATTTAGATGATTTTTTTTCTAGATTTTAACAATGCTTTTTTTAGGAAGGAGTGTGTTTTGAAGCCGATATTGAAGATTTATATAAAAATACGTTCAAATTTAGTTTTTTTATCAGTCCGGGTCAATTTTGATCAGATGATAAATTTAACTTTAATTTGAAAATATAGGAAAAACATGTTTGTATCTACTAAGGAATCAAAAACCCCCCACTTAACATATTCTTTTTTTTATTTTTTGTAAACAATTCGTTTTATTGAGATAACACTGTACATTGTCTATTACAAAATCGAAAATTTTAAGCATATAAAAATTCTATAAAATTTAATTCGAGAAACACATTTTCAGGTCAGTTCTAAATACTTAAATTCTAATTACACATACTCAAATACTACGACCAACACCAATATAATATTAATTTAAATCCTGCACTATTCGCTCCAACTGTCTAAATAATATTCAATATTGAATATATTCCGGCATTTAGCAAGTTCAATTAAAATATGCACATCTTACTTTTCCTTAAACCGGATATTGTGTAGCAAGATATTTCTTGAGAGCCATAATTTATATACACGCTAGTGAGGTTCAAATGTTTTTAATATCGCGATTACTACTACTACTTTAATATAATTTTTAATTTCCTACTTCCGCCGCAAAAGGCAGCCTTAACAACTAACTGTTACCAACACCCTTGCATAACGGATAATTGCTGTACTGCACCGCAACCCACACGGTTCTGCATATAATCGGGGAAATTGCTCTGCAGCACACGCATTGTATTGCGCTTGTAGTCGGGCACCGCATGCGTCGTCAGTTGACAGGTGTCGCTGCGGTAGACAGGCTTAAAGTTCGTCTCCGTAAATGCGCTGGATGTGTCCCAGCGATAGACCTCCGAGTCACCTTCATTTCGGAAGAATATTGCCGAACCGTTATCAGTGCCGATAATAACCATACGCGAAGGTTTCTTACCCAAATCTTTAAGTATAAAGTAGAACGGATGAGTTATCAAAGCGCTAAACAAACAATGTCTTTAACATCGACTTACCCAATATGCGACCATCGGCCACACCACTGCGCAAATACTCCGACTGTAGTGAGAAGAGTCTGTTCGTGCTCAAGTAGGTGAAATATAACTCGGTTGTGCCACAATCTTTGCGTATCAGCGCGATATAGAGCACATCACGTGCCCTACAACCCGAAGCGACAGCTTTCGGTAGCACCACACGGAAGCCACGATCGGCTTGTAAATTATAAACGATAATGGCACGATTCGCAGCATCACTGACATACACAAAGCAACTGCCATCTGGTGCATAGTCCACCACAATATATTGTAAACGCGAGTTCGGCGATGTAAGACCCTCTAACGAAATGGATTTCAACACTTTGCCTGTCTTCACGGAGATCGCTACCACTTTGGCGGTACACTTGCGCTCCGGCGTCTCGAGCGTATTCACAATGCCGGTGTCCAATACCCACAGCACCTCATTTTGATCCACAACCAAGTCGACAACGGACTGAAAACCTTTACATGTGCTATCGTCCTGCATGTCCCAGCATGGGAAGGGTGCAAAGGTGGCTTGGCAAGCGCCCGGTTTGAGTGTGGTTTTCACAAGCGTCGCTGGCACGCCGTGCTTGTACCGCGGTAATGCCAAAAAGACGGTGTCACCCACTATCTGCGCACGCGTCGCTATCACATTCTTCGAGATGTACTTGCCCGAACTGCGAAAGAGCGAACGCGACGCGCCCGGAAACTCAAACTGTCCGCCGGTCCATTGTAGCGAGTTGACTGCAGGTGGCGCGACCACCGTTTCAGCGCTACTTCGTTTATCCCCGTATTTAATCGCATCCACGTGGGTCCACAGGCATTGTGCGAGGACTGTAAGCAGCAGGCATCGTTTCCACATTTCTTTGGTAATTTTTGGTAAGGGATTTACGCAATTATTATGCAAACTTGCTTAATTTTATTTATTGAACTCTTTATGCGTAATTTGTTTACACTTCGTTGCACTCTTCGCAAGCGCCTGCTTATTTGCAACTTCAGCAATAATATTTATTTCATATGAATTTATTGTTAATTTATATGGTTTTGCATTTTGATGGCTTCGCATGGCGCGCATACGAGTTCGCAATTGGTTGGCAACAGACGTGACGCGCCTCAATGCGCATTGCGGATTTCCAGTATAATTTCACTGTCAAGGTCGTCCGCCGCCGTCAGCAGTGTCGACACCGCGTATCTGTCGGCGTTTTGTTGTATATTTAGCGGCTTGTTGTTATGCTAGATTATTATGGTTTCATCAGTTGACATATGTCGGTATGTATGCGTGTAAGAGCGTGGCAAGACGAAGGTCTTACTTGCGGTACGAGCTTTTACTACTTCTGGTACATATTTCTCACTTCCATTTTCACTTCCCATATGTACTTAAAGTAGCTATAAGCAATTTCCGGACTTTTCTGAAATGTTTGGATATTTGTACAGAAGGTTAAATTAACAGAGGAGAAAGAATTATAAAAAAAGAAAATTTTTCAACAAAAAAATGTTTAACATCTACCCACTCAGTTTTAAAGTAAATTTCGAGTTCGAGTTTTGGCTAAAAATTTTCTTTTTTTTATAATCTACAAATTTTACCTTCAGGCTAAGCCAAAAAAAAAATTTTTTTTTCGCTTCACCCTAATAGTGTATATATATAGGTATGTAGTGTTCAAGAGACTTCTGACTTTAGGTCTTCAGAACTTCTTCTATCAGCATATGTTTTATTTTGTGCCGTTTGCATTTAATCCCCAAAGTTCTGGTCATCAAAAAGCCTTTCTGAAAAATGTTTAGTCGAATCGAACCCGCTTCAAATTCATAAACAAAGTGGCCATTTTTTAACCCAAAACGAGAAGAGGTTTGTTTTAAAAAGCACCTAACTCATATCTCTTTTGAGTCTAGAATTTCGTAACAACATTACTTAAACCATTATTTATATTCACTAAAGCTTAGTAGTACCCAAAGAAACGGTGTACAAATTTAACCATAATTCTTATTAAATTTTTAATTAATATATTGTCACTTGCTTATATAAGCAAGAACGCGAAAAATCTGGTTAAGAATTCTTCTTTATAGAAGTTAGATAACGCAGAGTCAAAAAAAATTACTAAACCTTCAGTGATTTATTGAATTTTCTATCCATAATTCGAAAATTTTGGATATATGTAGGTATTTAAACAGATTTTGAAAGTCTACACTTTACTTTTCGATTTTCTGAGGTGTTAAACAGATTTCCCACAATCTTTCTAAGTATAAGTGTCAACAGGAAATCAAGCAAAAACTGAAGTCCAATACGTAGATAGTTGAAGAGATTACGAAAGTCTCCAATTTAGTTTTCGCTTCTGTTAGGTATTTAACAGTTTTTCTATAGTCTTTCTAAGTAAAAGTGTAAACAGAAAATCAAGCTAAGACATAAAACCATTACGTAGATGTTTGGAAAGTTTTCGAAAGTCTCCACCCTACTTTTTCGAAAAGATTTCCCGCAGTCCCTCTAAATAAAAGTTTGATACACACTAATAGAGAAATCCTAAAAAAATGTGGTTCATTCAAGTAATAATTATGGAAAGATGAACTTGTATGAACTCCAACTAAACGAATGACTTCTGCTGATATGTATTTTCCAAGAATCTTCAAGATGTACCGCTGCTCACATAGAACAGTTAACTTCTAAAAAAAACTCCCCTTTTGCAGCTTCTGACTTTATATTCATTAATATTCGTTATGGCTTCGTGTATTCGTTCCTTTGTTCGCTGCATCCTGAACATGGAACTCTTTTCAAGCCTTGACATAAAAGTACTTTGAACTTTTTTTTAAACTGTACGTTATGCCATATCCATTCATCTATACTCTTTCGGGCAACAACTCAATGGCTCATTCAAATATTAAATTCAGAATTTCATTGGAATTCATGCTTTTGGTTTAAATGTGGTGCAATCGTTGCTTTTGCGCTAGTGAAATTCACACTTTTATATCACAAAATAAAATTTTAGGGGTCATAAAATAATTTTCATCAGAGTTCATAGCCCCAAGCAACTCGTTCATTAGCTCGTCTCAACACCTTGACAATCATTCTATGACAATTGTATTTAAGGTTTAGTGGTTTTCTTCGAATTTATTTACGCAATTTCGTTTGAGATTTGTCTAGAAAGCAATTTCTGCAGTTAATACTAAATTCTTACAAATTTACGCAATTAATTTCGCACCATTTTCACCTTGTCCAATGAGATCTGATTTCAATTTCGCCTCAAATCAACGACAATCTTAAAATACATAATAATAATGAAATTGGTGGAATTAATGAAGGTTATAATGGGTAATTGAAGAAGGGGTCAAGTGGGGCAAACAGTTATACAAACAGATATAAGGTAGATATATAAATGTGTATACATATTGCCTAAATTGTTAAATAAACAACTTTACCATATATAGGCTCAGACTCGCCGGCTGCATAACAAATAAATATATTTACATAAAAATATACTGACTACGCAAAATTACATAAATTAATATATAATATATAAAAATTATATATCACTGGTTGTTGTTGTTGGTCGCTTTGCATTAATTTAATTTTAATGCCACTTTGGCCTTAAATGAAATCAAGCCCATTTAATGTTTTTGCAAGCAACCTCCGCGCAACATGAAAGGGAATACGAAGGGGTAACGGTATATGGTATAGGGTGGCATAAAATTATGGTACAGAGATATAACGAATAAGCGGCGTTTTTATGACCCTTCATTGGGGTATATAAAAGTTGAGATTTAAATGCCAATAAGAGCGCTTTATTATTAAAACGCCAGAAATTATGCTACATTATTGTGTGATTTTATTTACTGAAGCAAATAAATGAAAATGCCGATGAAATTGCAAAGCCAAGCAGGAAAATTCGCAGAGTAATGCAAAGATTTGCCTGTTTTAAGCACAGGGTGCAATGCGTATGTGCCCGACGAGAGAACTAGAGGTCATGCTGGAACTCACACCGGTTTCACCTAGTAATCAATCAAACAGCTAAACAAAATGACACCTGAAGGCTATGGCAGAGGAAAGGTAATTTTTTCCAGCGAATTAAGGCCTTAAGTGATGAAACACCACTTTGTCTCTCTCCGAGGGACAGCATCACCAGGATATAGCTGGAAATGAACTGACTGACGAGCTTGCCCGCCTATCAGCTGCTACCAGGTTGGTAGGACCGAAACTCAAAAGCTATTTGAGATAACGATTTAGTATGTTATTTTTAAAGGTATAGCCTATTGTAAAGTTAAAAGAAAATACGGAAATGGTTGTAATCTATAATAAAATAATAATAAAATAATACTTTTAACCACAATTTACACAGAGCTGCATTTTTTTAACAAAAATTAATAAAATGGAATTTTTGGGAATATTGCAGCAATTATTTCACCTATCACAATTATAATTGTAAAAAAATATATTTTTAATCATAATAGTTTCTTAGATATCTAAACAAATCCATAAAAATTGAGGTGAGTGTAAAATTAATGCTTTCGCAACGTCGTTTCAGACAATATACAAATGTGGATTAATCGTATATAAAATAGGATTCCAATATGTTGCAGTTTTTTGTGAATTGGTATAAAATATTATATAAATATAATGACTAGCGGTGAAAATAAATAATCAAACACAACATAAATCACTTGATTGGAACTTAACTTTCTCAAATTACTTCATACATCACCGCAGTGGTGATTGTTTATGGTATCAACTTCCCAACAGGCGTTCTCCCACTCAGTGGATTTCCTTGCAGACTAAACAAAATCTAAGTGCAAAACATTACGGCCACACATATTGTACACCATAAGTCCACATAGACGAGTGCTGTAAATATAAGCACAAATCGCAAATGTACATATTTCTGCATTGCTGAGCAAAGTAAAAAAGAAAGATAATAGAACAATAGCGAATGCATACAAGAAAGTCAAAGGCAAACACTGTAATTATAGGCATTCACATAAATTACGAACTGTCTATCTTATTGTTTGCAATTTTTTCTCCAATATTCCTCCCTTTTTTGTAGGTCAATCACAAATGATTGGCACGATTAATGTCGATATTAAACGCATGGATGCTACACTTCAACGAGCTCGCATTTCGCACTCAAGCAACTGTGGCAACAATGGCCACATTGCTTGTCTTATTTATTATGGTATGGATGAGTTGCCAGCGTTTGTAAACAAACAAATAATCAGTGCGTTATTTTAATCGCCAACGTATTGTATTTAACGAGCGATGTCTAAAAAGCATAAATTCACTTTCGCTTTGGTATTTTGTCTTTGTGTGTTTCCACTGACCTTTTTCCCTTCATTTAAACAACTCTAGGCGAGTTAGTGGTTCTTTGGCCTTTTGCACGTTACCGATGGTTTTTACCTTTCAGTGTATAATAACTTAGTCGTATTAAAAATAACGGTAAAAGCAACAAAAGAAATTACGAAATTACAACCAAGCGAAAATTAATATGCCGAATAGACAATTTCAGCGATATAATGGCACACTCCATATTTGTTGTCTTTTATTTTTGTTGTAATCAAATTACACTAAAGGCAAATTAAAATGCAATAATTAAATATATTGAATATATATACGTATCCAGATTCTTATAAGGTGATTTTTCATGTCAGGTTTGACCTTCTGAGTACACAGAAGCTCTATCTTCGTCGCACCACCAACCCTTAGATACTTATGTATGTTCGATAGGCAATTCGCTTCATTTGAGTCCGACTTAAGGGGTTATATCCATTGGTGAATTTTAATTCGAAAAGCAATTTTTTTGCTTATATATAATATTCTCCGAAAATTTGAAGTAGATCCGTGAAATAGTTTCGGACATATGATCATATTTGTAAGAATGTTTTAACTTAGTGTAATCGGTTATTTTTACAAAAATCAAAATTTTTACTAGTACTTCAAACACTACATGTGTTTATTTATAGTAATAATAAATTATTTTTGCTTTTGGATTTGAGATAATTTTAAGTAGAACCACCAGTCACCTTTTTTCGAAAGTCCTTTTAGGGATCGGCTACGGGAT